CGAAACCGTCCCCGTTACTTACGGCCCATGCCAAAGGTATCATGTCTTTGGAGCCAAGTAACTCTCTGAGTAGTTGACGGAATCTCTCCGTTCCACTTCCCAGACCTAGCCGAAGGTCCTTTCCCATATATCCTGCGAACAGGATCCGGTCAGACAGACGGCGGCGACGTATACAGTGTTATTCCGACACCTTCAATTCTGTGGTAATATAGTCACAGGACGCAACTGAGATTGATATATATGATAACGTGCAGGCCCCGTAAGGGAGCCGGAGGGGGGTGTTGGAGACCAGAGATTCCGATTCCAAGTGGGGTTACCCTACTTAGGATGGTTCCTAGGTATCGGATTCTGGTATTCCTAACAGATAATTTCTACAACTACAATACATTCTTTGACTTAGTTGTAACACTCTACGAAGTCTATTGGCTTCTTTTATAGTGTCTCCTAGGAGTTCTAGACTTTTCTCAATATTGTATGGTGGATGTGAATATGTTGGTTCTTTATAAAAATCCTCTAACATTCAATATCATATCTTTGTACAAAAATGTCCCATTACTTATAGCATATACCACAGATGTTCCATCTTTGAAGCCTAGTAAATCTTTAAGTACTTGATAGATTTACTCCATTCTAGTTCTCAGACCTAGTCAAAGGTCTTCTCCCATATATTCTATGAACAAGATCCGGTCAGATAGACAGCAGTGATATATACAGTATTATTCTGACACCTTCAATTTTATGATATTATAGTTACAAGACTCAACTAAGATCAATATGTATAATGATATGAGGGCCCTATAAGGGCGCCAGAGGCAGGTGTTGGAGACTAGAGATTCCAAATCCAAATGGGGTTACCCTACTTAGGGTAGTTCATAGGTATCGGATCCCAGTACTCCTAAAATTATATGATTAAATATACTTAACAATTTTGTTTTTCCTTACTTTTCTCTTCAAGTTATTTATATAAAAAATAAATATTAGTAATTATACTTACATATAAATAAAGATTACTATCTGTAAAGTTTATAAAAATTAATAATATAATTATTAACTAATTTGATTTTTTTATTATTTAACTACCTCTTACTTATTCAAGAGTATTTGTAATATTTTTTTTATATATTATAGTTCTATTCTCAATATTAGGCAGAGATAACCTGATAGACTTCAGAGTTGTTTAGGTAAATCAAAATTTGTTTCCGTAGACAGAGATTGTCTAGAAAGGCTTGGGCTTCATTCATTTTGTTTATGACTACTAAGAGTGAAGGAAAGTAGGTGGGGTAGAATAGTATCATAAAGATAATATTATATTGTTAAAGTCTTTTCTCTGTTGCATGATTGATTTTTAAAAACTTGAGAGGCACTTTGATATTTATATTCCACAGCTGAGTGTTCGTAGACTATATCTATCTATTATACTTTCCTTCATCAGCAGTGTTCATGAAATACTTACTAAGTAACCACTCTGAAAATGGTGACTTAAAATTTTTTTTATTGCAACAACCAGTCATTACCAGTATAACTATATGAATAATTAGACTGTCAATTTATGCTATATCATTAAACTTTCCTCTGTATGATCTAGTAATTTTTAATTTTTTTTGTTTCTTTCCCAATTTCCAGTAGTTATACCTAACTGTCTCATGCAAACTTTAACAAACCTGAAATTTTATTTTCTTAGAATCTGACCTGTTGTCCTAATTTCCTTGCTGTGAGAGAAAGATTTCTCAGATTTTGGCTGCCCTGGATATTGAGGTGCAACTTCATATAGATCGAGGAGTTTTATCCAATTG